TTAGTCAAGAGATGAAGTTGTGGTCTCTCCCTCTTCTTTTTACCATGATATTTACAGAGCTGGAATGGTGGTCTACGTCTTCTTCTGACAGCCATATTCAGCCTTACCTGAGATCTGAAATAGTGGTCTCACTCTCTATTTACAGTGATACTGAATCTGAGTACAGAGCTGATATAGTGCTCTTTTGTTTTTTGCAGTGATGTTATAACCACTGTTATTGAACAATGACATGAATAATGTAAATTGATTATGGCTCAGAGCTGCTGAGCCCACTTGAACATGGTTTTCCTTGTGAAATGTCGTGGGAATTTCTAAATCTTGTATTTCCGTTATCTGATGCTCAATTTCAATGTAGCATACTATGTAAATCTTATAACTTGAGATGTAATATATACATGAAGCTCTTCTTTTATGTAAAATGTCGAAATGAAGATTCGTCTCTAAGAGTTATCTTCTCTCATTTTGGCTTTTGTATTCGATAAATTCTACTACTAGGAATTTTATAACTCTTCGTTCATTTTGGCTTGTCTTTGATAAATCCTATTATTACAAAATCTAGAGAGGGAGGGAGGGAGTTTAAGGTCTTGGGTCACTTTGAAGAGAGAGAGAGAGATTTTAAGGCCTTGGGTCCCGAGAGAGAGATTTTAAGGTCTTGGGTCCTGAGAGAGAGAGAGAGAGAGAGAGCTAGTTTTTATATTGTTTAATATCTCGAGAGAAAGAGAGCTAGTTTTTAGATTGTTTAATATCTCGCATTCATCACACTATATTCCAAAGTAACGTTGGAGCAACACATGCAACAAATCTTGTCGTCTTTCCAGTTCCCTGTTTCTTGGGAACAAAAGAAATCATCCATCCATCATGTTCATCAGGGCTTCCTGGTCTTGCGACAAAAAAATCCCAGAAAGATACTGGTTTTCCTCAAGCTTATATTATTCGACTTTCACCCTCTCCTTGGATTCCTCCACAACCATTTTCTTTGTGAAAGTTTGGATGCAGCGATGATACGGAACAAGAAAAAGGAATTGAAGAACCCATATCAAATCTCCATTGTAAAGCTGATTACTACCTACCTGTGCATGGCTTTCTCCAAGTTGCTCAAAATTTAGCTTTGCTATCCTATTATATTTGACATATCTGAGAATGAGAAAGAAAATCAGTAACCTCACATTTAAGAAATACAACACCCTCCCACCTATCTATATATCTAAAGCAAACTACAGGGTGTAAGTCCAGATGTTACCAATCCTTGGGCTTTTCTTGGAACCCCTGACTTGGGTATATCCATAGTTATTCTTTAGATCCATTGATAGCTGGGCCATGGAAACCTATGGTTCAGTAAGATACCCCTATTTACCGAAGCATCATTCATGTTCAATCTCCACTCATAAATAAGGGCGACTAATACCCCATCAATACCAAGACCTCCTCTTGTGATTGGGAAAATAGATGTGAGATACCATTCGCATTTGTTGACACCACAATCAGTGTCCAGTATGGCTAACCCCATGGGAGGACTTCCTATCACCACAACCTAGTTTTGTAACAAAAAGAATCATCAATATTATTGGAATATTGATATTGTCAATATTTATTATTATAATTGGTAACAGTTAACAAATTCAAAAAAATAAAATAAAATATTATAATTGGTTCTAGTTAAAAACTATATGATTAATAGATGGATTTGCATAAACAACTTTATGTAATTGGAGCATCTTTCCTAGTATGATACTGAAAAGCAGTCTCACCCCATCACCATCCTCAAAGGAGTTTATGATGTGAAAAGGCAGTGTGGTTCCACGTCGAACCAAGTGATGGAAATTTCATCCCCATACCTAGGCATCCTTCCAATTCTTGCTGTTTGATGCCTATCAAACTTTGTTAACCTGCAATGGAGTAGATGCTCGAGGGATTCAAAAGTCATTTTTTTTATGTTGTATGTGGTGGAAATTTGACAGAAGTAATGGATCTTCATCATGGTCTCTTCTTGCATCAATTCTAGGTGGATAATCCATTATGATGTTGAGGCTTAATTCCATGAAATCATTTCAATCATCAGCATGGAAGGTAAGCACCAATCTCGAAGTATTATTTTTTCATAAGTAGAAATAGAAGAATGAACACGGGATGCAAATCAAAAATCCATTCGACGAGATGAGCCGTAAAGTTTTGCACTACATATAGTTATAGCAAATCCTATATAATCAGAGGGATTCACAAATAATTTCTACAGGTTGAAATTGGTTTTACAAAAGCAATGCTCATTCAGTGTCAACAAATGGAATGAGAAAATGGAAAACTGAATAATAATTTAGATTTTATACAAAAAGTGAACCACAGAGAAATTGAGTGATGTTAAGCAATGTAAACGAAGCTCAAAAGCTCACTTTTTGGTGATGGCAAATCTCATGAGCTAATATGCTCTTTACAAGATTGAGTTTGATTTTATCCAGCAGCTTCTTCCCATCGGTGCAGAGAGAGAGAGAGAGAGAGAGAGAGAGAGAACGGTAAACGTAAAAGTCGAGTAGCACTATAGTATTTACTACTGTCAGTGGACGTACCGTACGAAAGTAGTGTAGTCGCTACGTTCGTCTTACTAGTAAGAAAAGACGACAACGAACGA